TTTTTTTGTCGAATTACAGTGTGCTGGGAAACTACCTGGGGAATACAGACCAGGGGTTACTTGGGGCAGTCTTGGTAATATAATTCAAAAAGACTGATCACATCAAACTAAATCCTTACATTCTTGTATACTTTTTCCCCCTATTTCTGCAGGGGAAGGTCTGATGTTGATAATACTCTCAATTTTCTTTGAGAGAGAAAGTATTTATTCTACAATGTTAAAGAATAATTTTTGCTAGGAATGTAGTGATCCTAGGTTGATAAATTATTTTTTTACACTAGAGATTTCCTCTTTTTTGGCACTGTAAATTGAATCCATGAGCACTATACCACTGAGCTCTATCCCTGGCCCTTTTAAATTTTAATTTTGAGACAGGACCTTGCTAAATTGCTGACACTGGCCTTGAACTTGCAATTCTCCTACCTCTGCCACGTGAGTCACTGGGATTACAAGTGTGCACCACTGCACCCAGCTCCCCTACCTTTTTTTCTTTGCATGACTAGTGACAAGAGTCCATAATTATTATCCTTGTTCCTCTTCAGATAAGAGTTTTTTCCCTGGTTTTCAAGATTTCCTCATTGTTGTTTCCATTCTGAAGTTTGAATGTGACATGCAATGATGTAGCTTTTTTCTTTTCTTTCTTTCTTTCTTTTTTTTTTTTGTTTTTATATTGTTGACATCCTCTGAGCTTACTATAGGTATGATTCAGTACCCATCATTAAGTTTGGAAATTTCTTTCATTATTCCCTCAAATATTTCTTCTGCTCACTTTTCTCTTTGTTCTGGTTTTCCAATTTGGGGTATATTATGTATTATGAATTATCCCAAGGTTCTTGAATGTTCTACCCTGCTTTTTGTATTTTGCATTTTTCTTTTTGAATTTAATTTTAGGAAGTTTCTATTGACCGATCTTCAAGCTCAGTTATTCTTTACTTAACCAGGTCATATCTACTGCTCCCATCAATGGTATTTCACAGTATTATGAATTCTGGCATTCCTTTTGATTCTGTTTTATAGTTTCTATCTACTTTATCTATTTGTTCCTGCATGTGTCTGTTTTATTCCATTAGAACTCTTAACATGTTAATCATTATCATTTTAAATTCCCCATCTGATAATTCTAACATCTGTGACATAATAGATTTGATTTTAATGCTTGACTGTTTTTTCCTTATATTTTTCTTGTTGAAAGTTGTACATGTTTTTATCAGGAAGTAGGCACAGGAGTAAATAGGCATATGATATGTGGATTTATGTGAATAGGGATAGGATTTGGACTTTGTTCAAAGTTTCCTGTAGCACGAAGATTCAAAGTCTGCAAATTCCACTGGTGCCATTGCTTTTTGACTTTGGTATTCTCTGAAGTATTCTTGCTCAAAGAAAGTTTTGTATGTTATACCTCTTTCAGCTCTAATCTAGTGTTATTTTAGAGGATATACCTTTTGGTATTGTGGAAAGGTATGAGGAAAAAGAGATCATTCTATAATCTTCCATGTATAATTATAATGTACCAATTAAAATTTAATTAAAAATAAATAAATAATAAATCTCAGTGCTTTTACTGAAATTTGTCCCTGGCTTGTGACCTTCAGAATTTTGTCTCCACCCATGCCTTAAATGAGAACAGAAAGATATAAGCAACTTGAGTAAGAATGTCCTCTCCTTGGCTCTAAACAAGGCTCTGTAAAGTGTTTCCCCTGGAGATTTGGACTTTGTTATGGAGAAGGCTCTGGAAGTGTTCCACAATGATCATTCTTTCCTATCAGACAACTAGGGGACTACTGAGATCTCCACTGTCAGAACCTAATTGGATTCCTAGAGGTAAAAACCCATGGGACTGGACTGGGCCTGTAGGTCAGTGGCAGAGCGCTTGCCTGGCATGTGTGAGGCACTAGGTTCGATTCTTATACCACATAAAAATAAATGAAATAAAGGCATGCTGTCCATCTACAACTACAAAACATTTTTAAAAATCAGGGGACTATTGTTCACGCACACCCAGGAGTGTACCCCTCTGAAATTATTCATTGTTATCCTAGTCCATATTTCAAAATTACAGTGTGAATTTCTAGCCAGTTACAGCTCAATTAATTTCTGTTCCTGTTAACCAGATCTTGGTTGTGACTCTCTGGACTCACCTGTTCCTTAAATTTAAGGATAGTGGTTTGCCCTGACAACTTAATTGTCTGATGGGACCAAGAAAATTCACTGATTTTTAAGTTTACCCAGCTTTATTTTAAAAACGAGAGTTGCAAATTCAAAGCTCTTTACATGTCAGTACCTCGCTGGTTCCTCAAAAATACATGAGTATTGTTTTTAGCTCCCAAATACTCACTCTTTCCTGAAACTGATGATTCAAATGCTTAACCTTTTATTTTTTTTTTTTGTCCCATAACTCCCTAAATCTCTGTTGATTTTTGTTTACTTGTTTTTCCTTTTTTTCCAGATTGAGCATATTCTGTTGATCTATATGTAATCAGGTTCACTGATTCTGTCTTCTGTTCTTTCCACTCTACTATGGAACTCCAGCAAGTTTATAATTTTTTTTTGTTTATTGTACATTTTATTTTATAGCTTCCATTAGTCCTTTTCTATAAGCTCAATAACTTGGTAGGGATTTTCTATTTTTTGCTTACTTCACAGCAATCCTTAATTATTCTTCAATCCATTTTATACTGACTACTTTAAAATCTTTGTGAGATTCTGCTGGTGTCAGTCAATTGTGTTTTCTCATTTAAATTGTGATTTCCCTGTTCTAAATATGATGAATCATTTTCTTATAGGCCTTGCATATTTTAGATATTACATAAAGAGACCATTGATCTTTTTGTATCTTTCTATTTTTACATGAAGATTTTTTATTAAGGTTTGGCCTATTGGTACTGACCTTCTTACATGCTTACAGTTCCAATACATTTAATTTTATGAGCCTTTGCAACACACTTTTGAACTGCATTGTTCTAAACATACCTGAGCCCCTGATGAACTGTGACTGGAGTTGCCTATAGGGGCAGAAAGTGCTTTCCAGGGCCATCCAGTGTCAAATTAATTTGGGAGTGTGGGGCTATGGACCCATAGAATATAAAACTTTTCCCCTGGCTTGTTTTTCAGTTATCTGATATCACTGACCCTCTTATTCTTTATCTACCAGTTTCTCTAGGGGAAGAAAATACATACATTAGTCATCTGTTGCTGGTGGTTGGATAGCCAGGAGCTACAGATCTTGATATCTCTCTGCTACTTGGTAGAGAGTCCAGAGACTCTGCAACTTGTTCAGCACTTGCTACAGCGTAGATATCTGAGAAACGCCAGGCCTGCTTGCTTTCTACCACTAAAGTAAGTGACTGGTCCAGATCCCTCAACTGTTCCAGATTTTCTTACACCACGACATTTGTGGCTCCCTTTTGTGCATAAGAATGACAATATTGAGCTAGGGTTGTGGCTCAGTGGTAGAGTGCTAGCCTAGCATGTGTGATGCACTGGGTTTGATTCTCAGCACCACATAAAAATAAATAAATAAATGAAATGTCCATCAAAAAGTAAAAAATATATTTTAAAAAGTCACAATATTATATACAGTAGGATGTCTCAATATTAGTGTTATTTTTAAATATTTTAAAGATGAATCTGAATATTTATTTATTTACATTGGTAGTAGGTATTGAATCCAGTGGGGCTCTGCCTCTGAGCTACATCCACACATTTTTTTAATTTTTTTTTGAGACAGGGTCTCACTAAGTTGCTGAGGCTGGCTATAAACTTGTGATTGGCCTCTCCAGTAGCTGGGATTATAATGTATGATATCACACCTAGCTATATATTTATTTTTAAGAAATAAATATATATATATATATATATGTTTGTCATTTATAATTGCAGCTGTGAATGTGATGAAATGGCTCATTATAGTCCTTTCAATCACAGAAAGTAAGAATGCTGGATAGGGCTGGAGTAGTGGCTCAGTGGTAGAGTTCTTGCCTAACGTGTGAGGGAGGCACTGGGTTTGATTCTCAGCACCACATATAAATAAATAAATAAATAAATTAATTAATTAATTAATTAATTAGTTTATTTAATTTAGTTGTCCATTGACAACTAAAATACATATAATTTATGCAATATTATACATATATGCTATATATGTGTTCATATATAGGTGAGTTTATGCATATATGTGTGTGTATATATATAAAGAGAGTAGGATGTATAAATATCTATAATTTATATATAATATATACATATGTTTATATGTTTTATATATTTATATATGTATTATACATACATATATTATAGACATATATAATATACATATATGTGTGTGTATGTGTGTGTATAATTTTTCAAAAGAATGCTGGATAAAAGAAAAAATATTCTGGTTGCTCTCCTGCTGCCCTGAGCTGAGTAGCTTTCTTTTCCACACCATCCTGCCATGGTGTTCTACTTTATCTCAGGTCCAGGGCATTGGAGTTGGCTGACTATAAACTAAAACTTCTGAAACCATAAGAAGTGAATCTAGTTCACTGATTTTATCTTGACTGAAAACAGAAGTCCCCTTTCTTTTCTATGTAAGCATTCTTAGACCAATTATTAGCTTCTAGTATATGAGAAAATAATTATGTAACAAAGCCTTGAACCTTTAAAGACAGTGGGAGGGAAACCAGTTTCTATGTTGTTAGACTGCTTATTCAAGGAGTATTATGAAGAAATTCACAGAGTCTGAAACTGAAGCCTCCTACAGACTTACAGTAAGAAAGAAACTGGACCTCTTGCCAACAGCCATATGAGTGAGCCATCTTGGAAATTGCAGCCTTAGCCCCCAACTGGACTGCAGCCTTATGGTATCCTCTGGGAGAGAACCACACATCTAGCCTGCTACCAACCTCCTGATACATATATATTGTGTAACATATATAGTGTGTATATTTATATATATAAATATATACCTCACATTTGAAATTAAAACAAAATTTTTCTTTGAAGTGTTTTATTTTCTCAATATAACAATCTCATTAGAATATTTACAGATATGAGCAATTTGTTTATTTCTATGAAATAAAATTGTTTATTACACTGAAAAAATTATTCTCTTTAAAGGCATCATAATTTCTTTCGTGTCCAGGACATCAGTATAAAAAAAAATCCGGGCTGGAGTTGTAGCTCAGTGGTTGAGCACTTGCCTCACAAGTGTGAGGCACTGGGTTCAATCCTAGCACCAAATAAAAACAAATAAAGGCATTCAGTCTATATACAACTAAATTTTTTTTTAAATCTGGAAGATAGACAAGATCACCAAGGGATATTTTACTAACTTGTACTTCTTTTTTCCCTCAGAGAATTTACTGGAATCTAAACTTCCCTGAGTGAGAGGATGTCATTCCATGGACAAAAATCCACTAAGCAACAGAGAAGACAACAGCACTTTGGAAAACACATGAGGCCAGGGAAACCTAACTTAGGGTTCAGTCTTCCAAACCAGGCAATACTTGAGTAGTTAAGATATCAGGTACTAGAAAGGCAGAGAGAAGTGACACATATAAGGTGTATTTCTTCCTTGAGGCATTTGTCCACACTTAAGCTATAGAGAACCTGTAACCAAGATGCTCAACAGACAGCAGTTAAAATCTCAGTGGACTTCTCAGTGGTCCCTTGATGTTACATGATAAAGACCTGAGTTCATCCCATCTGGACCCCAAAACCTTGGCAAGACTTTATCATTTTACTGTCTCTATATGGGGCCATTTCCAGAGTGCCATATACTTGGATTCATACAATACATAGTCTTTTCAGACTGACTTCTTTCACTTAGTCATTCATTTACATTTTCTTCATACCCTTTCATGACTTGATAGCTCATTTTTTTTAGTCCAGGATACTATTTCATCTTCTAGGTGCACTAGAAGATGAATTATCCTCTGTACTACTGAAGGACATCTTGACTGCCTCCAAGTTTTGGTTGCTATGAATAAAATAGAATAAATCTTCTTATATAGGTTCTCATGTGGAGTTAAGTTTCAGCTCCTTTGATTAAATACCAAGGAATGTAATGGATGACATGATAAGTGTATGTGTATTTTGTAAAAAATTACCAAACTCTTCCAAAGGGGCTGTATCATGTTACATTCATACCAATATTGAATGTGTTTCTGTTGCTCCATATTTTCACCAGCATTTGGTGTTCTCACTTTTCTGAATCTTGACCCTTGGAATAGGCATATAGTGGTACTTCATTGTTTTAATTTGCATTTCTTCAATGGCACATGATGTTGAAAATTTTTCATATGCTAATCTTTTATTAGTACATATTTTGTGAGATGTTTGACAAGGTCTCTGACTCAATGTTGTAATCATTTTGTCTTATTTTTGAGTTTAACTAGTTATTTGTATAATTTAGATAATAGGCCTTTATCAGACATAACATTGAAAATAATTCCCTCCCATTCTATGGGTTGTACTTTTTATTCTCTTAAAAGTCTTTCACAGACCAGAAAATTTTATTTTTCATACATTCCAGCTTATTAATTATTTCATTCATAGATCATGCCTTTGCTGTATTATCTAAAATGTCATGACCAAAACCTAGACCATCTAGATTTTCTCCTGGGGCTGGGGATGTGGCTCAAGCGGTAGTGCGCTCGCCTGGCATGCATGCTGCCCGGGTTGGATCCTCAGCACCACATACCAACAAAGATGTTGTGTCCGCCGAGAACTAAAAAGTAAATATTAAAAATTCTCTCTCTCTCTCCTCTCTCACTATCTCTTAAAAAAATAGATTTTCTCCTGTTATTAATGGGTACTGATTATTGTCAAATACTTTATCTGCATCTTTATATGATCATAGGAATTTTCTTCCTTAGTCCATTGATCTGATTAATTACATTAATTTATTTTTGAGTGTTGAACTATCCTTCATGAATGGGATAAAGCCCATACACTTAAGATATATATTATTTATATATATATATATATATATATATAGTTGGATTCAAGGTGCTAATGTTTTGTTCAGGACTTCTGCATCTATGCTTACTAGAAATATACACTTGCATATCTTCTTTCCTATCATTTCTCCACTGGGTTCTGGTATTAGAATGATGCTGACCTTGTAATATGGGTTAGAAATATTTTTTGTCCTTCTTCTCTGAAAGATATTATAAAGCATGAGTATGATTTCTTCTTAAACATTTGATTGAACTCTACAATGTCATATCTGGGTCTCATGTTTTCTGTTTGGGAAGGTTATTAGTTATAGATGTAATTTCCACAATAGTTGTACACCTACCTATTCAGATACAGTGAGTTTCAGCAGATCATATCTTAAAGGTCCATTTTATCAAGGTTCTCAAATTTATTGAAGGAACATGGTTTAGAATATTACTTTGTTATCCTTTTCATGTCCATGTGATCTATATTTACGTATTTTCTTTTTGTTTCAGATATTAGTAATTTGTATCTTCTCTTGCTTTCTTAGTTAGCTTGCACAGAAACTTATCAATTTTATAGAACACCTTTTAAAAACAATTTTTCATTTTGTAACTGTAATCTTTCAATATTTTCTTTTCAATTTCATTGATTTTTTTATATTTTTTATACTTGCAGATGGACAGCACACCTTTATTTGTTTAGTTTGTGTGTGTGTGTGTGTGTGTGTATGTGTGTGTGGTACTAAGGATTGAACCCAGTGCCTCACACATGCTTGGCATGTGCTCTGCCACTGAGCTACAGCCACAGCTCAAATTTCATTGATTTTTTGTTCCAATGATATAATTTATTTTCTTCTGTTTACTTTAGATTTAATTGGTTCTTCTTTTTATCTCATCCTAAGGTACAAGTTTAGATTGTTACTTTAGATTGTGTGTGTGTGTGTGTGTGTGTGTGTAAAAGATATTAGAAGAATAAAATCAAAATAATCAAAGAAGACCACTTACCTCCATAGAAGGCAATCTGTTATTACTATGAAGACATATTTTGAGACAGGTGGAAAACATTGTTGGAACTTTCCTTGGTGTTCTGGAAGGAAATGGGCTGGGCACTGCAGGACCTCATGGGAACAAATGCTCCTCAGATTTTTCTTGTGATTAGGTGGTCAGTCATGCTGCCCAAATAATGAGCATGACAGCACCTCTGAGTATGGAAAGGTCATTAAGTCTCCCAGACTTGTGAATATGAGTGTTGGGCCCTGTGCTCATGTATCAGTGCTTAACAGTTCTTGTGAACCCACTTACCTCTTGTGACCCTAGCAAATATCATACGTGGCAAGGACAAGCATCAGTTCTCAGCTACTATTTTGCTCTAACCATTGTCAGCAGCACAGAATCAAAATATGTCCCCTTCATGACTTGGAATATATCTCACACTATTTTGTGCAAACAGTCAACCTCTTTTCCTTCCCACATAGTTGTTTGCCACAGTGATCTTGGCAAAACTCGAAAGTGGCTATGATCCATGGCACAGGGAAAAATTAATGCACAGGAAGCCATCTATCAGAATGCTGAGCAAAAGAACTTGACCTCTGCTCTGTGATCCTATAGTCTTTCATGTATAACATGGAAAAAATGTCAGTTATTCTGTTGTAGAACCATTGCGGGGACTGAATAATGTAGCACTTAGGCAGAGTGCCTAGACATAAGTGAGGCTCATTCCTTGTGAGTTTATTCTCTTCAGTCTATATTCAAAACTTCACCTGACAGTGTTCTTGACCTACAAGTTCTGCTTCTGCCATCTGACAGAATTTGTTGATTGATGGCCAAATAGCCACAATTACAAGGGCCCAAGGGTAAAAATAAATAAATAAAACCCCTAATTTAGTTCAAAGAAGAAGTATGTCTAGTCTCAGGGGAAATTTAAGATTTTTCCAAATCATTCATATCTACACCCTTTTCAAATGATGATTTTTCCAGCCTCTCCTGCAGCTAAGGGTGACCAGGAGATTCAGCCCTGTCCAAAGAGGTACACAGAGAATGTGTTTGGAGCTTCTGTACAAGAAGTTGTGTCATAATCAGAGGGATGGATGTGAGAGAGGATGGTGGCAGTTGCAATGCCATAAGGGAGACTGGAGATATTGCAGCCACACTGTGAAATGCACAAGAGTCAACTTGTTAAAAATAGTTGAGCTGGAGGATGGAAGCCTCAGTGTGCTTGTGGCATCTCTGATCAGCCAAATCAGTGCAAGTGCACCTCCAGGTTTCCCATCAAAAGAAAAAAATGGTCAGGCTGTTGGTATCATTGCCTCTGAACTTTTCCTTACTCATTTAAAAATAAGTTTTAGAAATATAGGTGCCCTGACTTGCATTCCCAGAAATTCTGATCTTATCAGTTTATATTGTGGTGTCTTTAGGTATTTAAAATGTATTCTGTCCTTGCATGGTGGCACATGACTATAATTATAGCAGTTCAGGAAACTGACACAGGAGCATGAAAAGTTAAAGCCAGCCTCAGAAATTTAGCAAGGCCCTAAGCAACACAGGGAGACAACACTCTGAAAATTAAAAACAAAAACCAGGTCCTGGGGATCAGTGCTTAAGTGCCCCTGGGTTCAATCCTCAGTCCCCCTCCCCAAAATGTTTTCTGTTGTAAGAACTGAGAAGCAGACACATGACAAGCTTTAATATCATAAGACACAGGTAGACGACATTTATCTTCACCAATCACGTAAGTCAATTAATTCTATTTCATCTGCATATGCTACTGTCCCCTGCCTTCATGTCATGTTAATTAATCCATATATACCACAAAACATATCCCTCAAAGCAAAAGACAGCTTTCAATGATGCTGTAAAAACATAATACATGCCACTCTTGATTCTCAACAATTACAGATAATTCCTTAACATTTTCAAGATTAAAACATTTTCTGAGGGAAAATGTTTCCCTGTTGTCTTATCCAAGTACTAATGTGTTTACCAACTCCAGGTTGCTCCAGTCTGCTGCATTGCAATTGGTTGCTGTGCCTATTAATCCTCTGTAGAATTTACTCCCCCTCTCCTCTTTCTTGGGAGAAGTGAGTCCTTTGTTTTGTTGAATGTCCCCTGCTGGATTGGGCTGATTTCTGTTCACTGGAAATATTTAGCACATTCCTCTGTTTGCTGCCTTTCTTGTCAATTGGGAGTTGGATCTAGAGTCTTCATCACACTCTGGAGTGATCTTTCCCCAGAGGCAGTGTTGCTTAAGTCCATCAGGGGACACAGACTCTGTGGATGTCTCTGCTGTGTAATGCAAGCATGTCTTGGTGGTCACTGTGTCACTTGAGGCTCAAACTGGGGATGTTTGAACTCTATGTTCCTTTTTCACTAGTTAGATGCAATTCTTCTCTGATGAGAAACTTGCTTTATCCCCTAGTTGCTATCCACATGTTGTAGTGCATATGCCATGTGGAGAGTGATTTGTTTTTCAATGTGCCTGTTTACCTAATTTCTAAAGAATGAATTTATTCCCAGCACTTAAAATTTTTCATTTTTAACTGACAAAAATTATGTGTATTCATTGTGTGCAGCATGTTTTGAAATATGTATACGTTATGATTGGCTAAATCAAGCTAGTTATCATATGCATTTCCTCACATACATACCATTTTAGTGGTGAGTACACTTAAGAACTACACTTAGCAATTTTCAAGACCTAGAATTGCAAGTGATAGAAAGGATCTCTCTTTTTTTTTTTTTTTTTGTAGATCTACTATGGACTCCAAATGTAATCACATTTGATGTGTTTACATATTGTCCGTTATTATTCTTGTGGACATGCAAATTTTCCTTCATGATGTAAACTCAAATTCCAAATTTGCCTCCTGGAACACAAGGGCAGTCACAAGGCAGGTGCTTAGCACATGTGTGCTGAAAGTGTGCTAAGTGACTTAACTGTATTGATGTCATACTTGATTGTTACATGATAACATTACTTTATTCCTCTCCTGGATGTTTAAAACTGAAACTACCACTTGGCTGTCTTGACAGAGACAATTCTTCTGTCTCCAAATGTAGTTATTCAAG